CATATTCTCCTATATTATAAGAGAATACACTCTACCCCACCCGCTTCCCTTTGAGGATTACAGTTTACATACGATTCTGCCCCATCGTCCATCCTAAGTATGAATCCGTACCATCCCAGCCGGGCCAGTATCGGCCTTCCCCCCGACTGCAACAAATACTCTGCGCGCGCCCTCGCTCAGCAAAAACCATCAGTTTTCAAGCATTCTTTGCTAAAGGCGTGACGAAGTGCGCAATCGCGCGCGTTGTCGCGCGCGCATGCCGAAATCATTCAAAAACTTGCGGTCTGCGACGGGACTATCAGGACGCGATAGTCACGTTGATTCGCGGCGAAGAGGTCCCAGTTCTGGCACGGTTTAGGACATCTCAGTACGACGGCAACTCGCGGCGTCGAAGTCCCACTCATTGCGTTTTGGGGCGATGAAGGGTTTTCAATAGGCTTTCATCCCATAAGGCAGCTCCCACAGATAACCGATTGTCTTCTAGGCACCTACGAAGAGGGAACTTTGAGGAAGGGGTTACTGCAAGATCGTTGACGCGCCTCGGATTTACAGTGGTCCTGTTCCTCCCCCCTCCTCCTTCTCTTCCTTCTCCTCCTCCTCCTCCTCCTCCTCCTCCTCCTCCTCCTCCCCTCCATCCTCCATCCTCTCCCTCCTCCTCTCCCTCCTCCCTCGTCCTCCTCCTCCTCCCTCCCCTCCCTCCTCCCCCTTCCTCCTGCTCCTCCCCCAGGTCTTCGACGCCGTCGTGGGGGAGATGCGCCGACGCAGCGGCAGCTCCGGAGGCCTGCCGCTCCACCTGCAGGATCGCCGGGGGAGGTCTCGAAGAGGAGCGAGGAGGAGGCTCATAAGGAGGAGGGGGAGGGGGAGAAGGAGGCGAAGGGAAGAGGAGGGGTGAGGAGGAGTGGGGGGAGGAGTGAGGAGAGGGGGAGAAGGAGGGGGGAGGAGAAGGAGGAGGAGGAGGAGGAGGAAGAGGGGAGAAGGAGGAGGGGAGGAGGAGGGCAGGTGGGAGGAGGGGAGGAGGAGGGAGGAGGAGGTGGAGAAGGAGGAAGGCAGGAAGGAAGGCCATGCCCATGAAGGGGTCTCCCTCCCCCTTTGGCGCGCCTCCTCCTACAGCTTGTTATCCCCACCTTTTCTTCTCGCCCCCAAGTGGCGAAGGCCGCTGGAGGGGGGGGCCTGGTTGCGCTCTCACACGATCTCCGATGCCACGAGCCTGGGCTCGAGGAAGGGACTCCTCGAGTCGCCGCGCCAGCCGGGCCAGTCCCACGCCGCCTCCAGCCCCTCCCCCCCGTGCCCCCCCCCGTGCGTGTCTCGTCCTGGCGCTGGCCCAGCTCTGTGTGGCGCCGCGCTGGCTTCTATGGCCCGTGTGGCACCGCGCTGGCTTCGTTGCCCGCGTGGCTGACATGGCAACATTGCCGACTTCGCGGTTTCTGGAGCGGATGTCTTGCTCGCCTTGAGCGAGCTTTGCCTGCATGCCCGTTGCGATTCCAGCCTGAACAGTGGGGATTCTCTGTTCCTGGGGCTTTCGGAGGCGAATCGAATCTCCACTCGGGGGTGGACAGAACCTCCACCCTGACACGTCACATTGTCCGTTTTCGGTTCGCGAGAGGGCGCCGCGGCTGTCATTTTCTAGGCTGGCGCCTGCCAGGTGTGGGCCCGAGATCGTTTTCACTAAACCACGTTTTACTCAAAGGGGGTTCTGTCCATCCCCGATCCGCCTGGAAGGTTTCCGAAGGGCTTAGTTTTCCGAAGGGCTTTGGCGACCAGTCCTGTCTTCCTTTTTTCCCCCTCCTCCCCTCTCCTCATCATCCTCCTCATCCTCATCCTCCTCAGCCTCCTCCGCTTCCTCCTTCTCCATCTCCTCCTCCTCCACCCCCCCCCCCCCCTCCTCCTCTTCTCCTACAACTCTCGAGAACCGCAATGTGCAACACCACCTTTTTTTTTGTCCTCCTACCCTTCTCTCTCCTATCACCTTTCCCCCTCCTCCTCCCCCCTCCGTTGGTCTTGCTCTTGCTAAATCGGCTGCTAAGGGCGACGGTCCATGACCTACGGCAGGCCATCCGATCTTTCTCTCTCTCTCTCTCTCTCGTCCCCCCTTCGGGGCCCACCCGCATTCCACCCAAGGCGCTCGAGCACTTATCGGATGAAGCTTTCAGTAGGTTGGCCCAGATGTTCGAGGCCATTGAGCTGCACTTACGGTTTCCTTCAGACCGCCTGTATAGTGAGATGGTTCGTCTCCCTAAGCCGGATGGTGGCCACAGGCTGATTGTGTTTAGCTATACTCTCATACGAGTTTGGGCGAAAGCACGCCGATGGCTGTCGGCAGGGTGGCAACAACAGCATAGTTGCGACGAGATGTGGGGTACTCGAGGCAGCTACACATCCACGGCCTCGGCTTTCGCTCACAATCTGGAGCAAGCGGTGGGAAGCCTCATAGGCGACCGCACTTGTACCATCCTCCTTGACATGGTGAAATGCTTTGACATGGTGAGTCTCCATGCGCTCATGCGGGAAGCACGGGAGCTGGGTTAGCCGATGCGCCTGCTCTGGATGTTGCTGCAGCTCTACCAGCAGCCGCGGCGCATCAAGGCGCACGGCAGCCTCTCGTGCTCCTTCGTCGTTTTTTTTCAGGGGGTGCTGGCGGAGTGCACACAAGCCACCTACTACATCTACCTGCTGACGTACCGTGTCCTCCAGCGGGCCAGCAGGGTTGCGCCGACAATCAAGCCACGTTCGCTGGTGGACGACATCGGCCTGCAGATGGTCTCCCCCGATATCGGTGATGTCAAGCTGCTGCTGCGCACTGCCATGGTGCTCACTGCAGAGGCCAGGGGCCTCGGGCTTATTCTCCAACCTGCTAAGTCCGCGGTAGTGGCTGGATCAGCGCAGGTTCGCCGTGTGGTGCGCAGGGCCCAGCGGCGGCTGCCTCGGGCGGTGCCCCAAGCCCGACAGATGCGCAACCTTGGCCATGAGCTGCATGGCCCTCGAGTGCTGAGGAGGGTTGAGAAGAAGCGCATGAAGGCCGTGCGGGAGCGCAAGCACCGCCTCCTAATGCTGCGTCGCGCGGTAGGGCGCAAGGCCTCCACCCTGTGGCGGACTGGGCTCATGCCGTCCGCAGGGCACGGCTCTGGAGTGTCGGGGTTGGCGGGCGCGCTCCAACGTGAGATGCGCAACTTGGCCGCGGTGATAAACGGGCGCAGTGACAAACACCATGTTGGCGTCACGGCATACTTCCCTGCTCACCCTTCGGAGGAGTACGACCCCATCTATCATGCCTCGCTGGGCCTGGCCTTGAACTGCGCCGCCTGGATTTGGGGTGGGCGTACATCACCTAGCCGCCTTCGAAGGGCTTGGACAGCGCTCCATGAGCGGCTTGTCCCCATCAGTTGGGCCAATGCCAAGGCCCCCCTGGCCGCGACGCGGATGGCGCTCAGGCGGCTAGCCTGGGACATGACAGCGCCGCGCGTCCTGCAGGATGACTTGGGCAACCAGTATGACCTGTGCCGCGCGAGCCCCGCTGACCTACGTCCGTTCTCGGTGCAAGGCGCGCAGCGCTGGCAGCGCGACCGCCTCACCAGCCACATGCACTCCCACGCAGGCGCGCCCATCTGGTTCCGTGGGCCTAGGCACGCGGTCAAGGGTGTCCGCGCCGCTAGGCAGTTGGGAACGTTGCAGGCGCCATGGTCTGACAACATACCCATGCCGATCCGTGGGGGCATGAAGCTAGGCATGCCCATGCGCCCATGTCAGGCTTGCGGGAAGGCCCTTGCGCCCGAAAAATGCCGGGGCCATGTCTTCTTGGAATGCCCCGCGCGGCTGACCCCCCCCCGCAGGGGAGCTGCGACCCATGGGCCAGGAGCCGACGGGCCATGTCCAAGGCCTGCGACACGCGCAGAACCTTGAAACGTAGCAGGGCTTCGGCGACCTACGCCAGCAAGCTCGCGACAACCTTGGGCGTCGGGCCGACCCGGCCCTGCCGACCCTGCCGACCTGGCCCAGCGCCATGGAGGCCGAGGACGACCTCTTTCCAGGCATCGGGCAAGGGGTTGATGAAGAGGTCGACTTTGCGCCACCCGATGGGTACGACGGCCATCAGAAGAAGGCGCGGCTGGACGCGCAGAGTGTTCCCTGCGCGCCACCGGTTGCTTCGGAACAGAGTGGCCCGCTGTCCCTTGCGGCGGCGGCTCCAGCCTCGGCGCCCGACGCGCCGCGCGGGCGCGGCGGGCCCGAGACAGCGCCGCCAGCGATAAATGGCCGGCGCGGCATTCTCCCCCCCCCCCCCCCCCCCCCCCCCCCCCCCCCCCCCCCCCCCCCCCCCCCCCCCCCCCCCCCCCCCCCCCCCCCCCCCCCCCCCCCCCCCCCCCCCCCCCCCCCCCCCCCCCCCCCCCTCACGCGCTGGCTGAGGTGCTTACGTCTAATTTTAAATCTTTAAATCAAATATTAACCTTATCCAAGCGGTTCTTGGATCAGGCGGGTTCCTCATCGAGCAGTATTTTTCCGTTTTCACAATGCACGTGGACAAGTTTCCTTATCTGCCACGAGCAGATGCGCGGAGGCGCGATGTCTGACCGCGGGGCGGCGCCCTTAGGGTTTGGTCCCCGTTTCGCTTTACACGACGGGTCTGCTTTTTTTTTTTTTTTTTTTTTTTTTTTTTTTTTTTTTTTTTACGATTTTTTTTTTTTTTTTTTTTTTTTTTTTTTTTTTTTTTTTTACGACTCCGGTGTTCCCGTGGTGCGGAGATGTGGACAAGCTGTTGTGCAGCTTGATCCTTGCTCCTGGCTCCCAGTTAGGGCGCGGTTCGGGCTCCTTCCGTACTTAGCGCAGACACTCGGCCGTGCTTAGAGGTTCGCGATCAGGGAGGGGCTCGACGCCTTCCTGGACCACCAGTGCTTCGTCACTGACCTGCTGGCGCTCGCCCAGGAAGCAGAGCGGCGGCGCCCCGAACTCGAGCAGGGCCGCGCCAAGCGTGCTCGAGCGTGGCGGGGCATCTTCGCGGCCAGCCGCGGGCGCACTCTGCGGAGCCCTCCCAAGTTCCGATGGGCGCCAGCGCATAGGTCCTTGGAGGAGCTTACGGGCACAGAGTCGCAGGAGCTGAGTGACTGGCTAGGCAGCGGCTGGGCAGACTACTTCGCGCGCCGTGGTGCGGCCTCTCACGCGCTGGCTGGGCCGGTAGCTGAGGCGGTAACAGCTGCGCTGAAACAGCACCGCAAGGTCCTGCAGTTCATTTCGCGGGCGGCACTGCAGGTGGTGGCTCGCAAACAGTGGGGGTGCGATGTGGAGGTCCCCAGGCCACCTTGCGAGCAGGCCAGGCCCATTGCGGTGGCGCGCAGCACGGACCATGTCCTTGCTTACTGCGCCAGCCTCGGGCGGTACCGATGCACCCAATGCGGAGTCGCGGCCGCAACGGGCTCCTCCCTCGAGTCGCTGCAAACTGGCTCTCATCGCGTATGTCGCCCTTCGCGTGTTGCCAGAGCTCTCAACGCCGGGTGCTTCCGCGCCTTCGGCGAGGGCTGGGTTCTCTGCAGCGACCAGAGGGCTGGCATGGCCCTGGGCGCGGCCTTGGCGCTCGAAGGGAGCGCGCAGCCTTCGGCCCCCGCAGCCTCGTTGCCACCTGCCCTGGCAGAGGAGGTCGGGCGCGCCTTCGCTGCGCTTGGGCACGACGTGTGCAGGGGCAACAATGTTTACCGTTGCAGGCGCTGCGGGTCTCACTTGGCGGCGGGCGATGTCCGCGCAGCGCGGAAGCTTGGATTGAGGTGCGATGGGCTCTCGCCCAACGAGTCCACGCGCCGCCACCAGCAAGATGCG